CTGTTTACATTCACCAATACAAATTTATTTTTGTTCTCCGTCTGGATGTTTTTGGGAAGCAGCACCTTTCAAGAAAAACAAGGAATAAAAAGTCCCTAAAATCTTCCGACTGATATAATTTCTTCATTCCTTAAAATTTAAAAAATTATCGTTGTCTCTCTACCTGCAGTTTCTTATTCTTAATTTTTTTTTTTTTTTTTTTTTTTTTGTGCAGATGCAGCAACCAACAAAACATGACCCATGCTGCAAGACATGGAAAGTATATTGAGGCTTTGTGAACATTTTCCTGAATAGTGTGATAATCCTTATAAAAGAAGGTAGAGTAGCATACAGTCAAATTTTAAAGTGTCAAAGTATATGGAATCATCTGCCTGTTTGACAAGGGTGCATATTAATGGGGCAATACAATACTCCAAGTATGGGATTCAATATTTCTATATTATATCATTCATTAATCCTCATGATGATGACATACTTCATGTCAAAATATTGAATCCCAGCATTATTATTTATACTTTCTTATCTGAGATTAATCAGTGGAACTTCTGGTAATAGTGTACAATACTGTTTGTTGGAATTATATTTGATGGTGTTTGGAAAAAAGTAAAATGATTTGAAAATCATCAGAGTAGGCCTACCTGCTGCTACTTAGAAATTGGACTCTTGCAAGTTTTCTTTATCAATTGGGCATGTACTGAGTATTTAGTACGTGTTGGTGTTGAAATAAAACATACTAAGCATTCATTATGATGCCAAGTATTAACACATAAAACACCATTGAATGGAATTACCGTACATACTGTTACATGAAAATCCGGATTTACACAGCACCAGATACTAGCCTGGTGTCCTATTCACTAGAACACTGACCTTGTGCTTCCAAATCAGTATTTGTGAAAGTTACTGTGAGCATACAAAAACAATATCTGTACTCTATTTTTTTTTTTTTGCAGACAACAGACAAATCTCTCTTTAAGATAACAAGCAACTTTTGATATACAAAGATTGAATAATAATACTGTAAGTATTAAGTGAAATATAAGGCCTGTAGCCAAGGCATTTTTTATTGTTCTCGAGTTAAGTGAAATATAAGGCCCGTAGCCCCTTCTCCAAGTTCCCAAACAAGTCCTCCAACCAAACTAATGCACTGCAGACCCGGCCACTGGGACTCGACGTTTCCAAGCACCTGCTTGTATAATAGCATTATTTAGACCCAAGCACAGAAATGCTCTGGCTTTGGAGGTTTCGTCGACCCCACCTGGGCTTCGACCCTGGATGCCCAGAGAACCCTCCTTCGAAGAACCTGGCTACGAGTCTGAATATACTGAAGCTTATAAAATTATATTAAGTTTATTATTACCTTAAACTTTTTTCAATTGTGTTGTCTAATTTTTAAAAAATTTATATTTTTGGTAGATGCGGCAACAGACGTGCAAGACAGAAAAAGTACTGTTGCAGAGCAAGACAAGGAAGAGAAACCAATATAATTAATTTTGTTTAATATAGGCAATTTTATTTTAATTAAATTTGTGATGCCTAGAATAGAATACAGAAGTGTAGCTTGAACATCCTGCTGAATATTGCATTGCCGTAATCCTGGTGAAAGAGAACATACAGGGGTTGTATTATTTTGCAGCATCAATTGCTTCATTCTCAAAAAAATGTGTATATTGTACAGAAGATATGAACTGGCTAATTACAATATGACAAGAGAACTGGAAACCTACTATAATTTATTAATATCTATTATATAAGCCTATATAATGAATTGTTGATGCCTAATAATTTACATTATGTAATTTTGGTTATGGAAATAAAAAATATAAGTAGTGTGTTGTGTCGTTGCTATTGAAGTTTGAAGACTGATGGATGCAGGTAAGTTATGAAAAGTAGTTGCAGCATCAAGACAACAATTGCTTCATTCTGAAAACTGATTATATTGTACAGAAGATATGAGCTGGCTAATTACAATCAGAAGAGAACCAGAAAGCTACTATTATTTATTAATATAAGCCTAGAACATTTTGATATTCTATATAATTTACATTGTGATTTTGGTCATTAAGATAATACAGTTAAACTTGCCTGAGTTGACAATTGCTGCGTTTTCCATTAACAATCTGCAAGTCAAATATCAAATTCAAACAATTTTTCAATGGCATTTTGGATTCAACTTGGGCAAGTTCAACTGTACTTATAAAGCAGTGTTTTGGTGTTTCTTTGCTGTTCAAGTTGTGAAGACCGATGGATGCAGGTAAGGTGAAAAAAGCGCCCTCCAATAGAAAAAGGCTATATTTTTCCTATGTTCCTCAATTTCAATTGAAAGTGGTGCTGAAGGGTGCCCTCCAATAGAAAGCCAAAATTTCCAGGGTCTCTAAAATTACTATAGTTGGACTCCGGAGGGAAAACATTTTTGATATAAAACATTTTTGATATAAAACTGATTTTTCTAAGACAGAAAAATGTTTGGTGAAAAACTGGGAAAGGGTGTAAAAATTCAACAAAATATCAGAAATTGTTTTCCCTCCAGAGCCTAACTTTAATAAAGGGGCCCTCTGTGGTGCTGAAAACCGCCCTTCATAGCCATTTTATTTCAACGTTTTTAGTGGTCTCTTATTTGCCATTAATTCTATTAAGGTAGTAGAGTGTGCCCTCTAATGGCCAGTTTTTTGTAATTGTAAAAAAATTGGATGTTAGAGGGTGCCTTTTAGTGCCATTGACAATTAAGAGGCCCTAAGAAACTTTGGAATAAAAAGGCTATTTAGAGCGATTTTCTTCACTATTTTTATCAGAACCGGACAGATTATTGTGGCCAAATAACTTAGTCATATTTTGGGCCTTTTTCTATTCGAGGGCGCATTTTTTTTTTTTACCATCCTGCTCGTTCAATACTCGAGAAGAAAAAAAACAATATTCAATACTCTACTGAATACAATTAATATTTATTTATTCAATACTATTACAATAAATTATTCAATACTATACTGAATACAATTGATTATTTATTCAATACTATTACAATAAATTATTACTGAATACAATTCAATTGAATGCTTGAAATAGCAATTAACCAGTTGCCATAACCTGAAAGAACAAGTCAATTTTTTAAAATTAAACATTCATGCAAAATAATACAAGAATATATAAAGTCCAATGAAAAGGGAAACTATTTTAAAGTCAATTTTTATATATCAAACATTTATGCAAAGTAACAGAACTATATAAAGTCCAATGAAAAGGGAAACTATTTTAAAGTCAATTTTCGTAAACCAAACATTTATGCAAAGTACAATAACAATATATAAAGTCCAATGAAAAGGGAAACTATTTTAAAGTCAATTTTTATAAATCAAACTCCAATGAAAAGGGAAACTATTTTAAAGTCAATTTTTATAAATCAAACTCCAATGAAAAGGGAAAATATTTAAAGTTAATTTTTATAATTGAAAAAACAGTCCTATGGAAAGAGTTTAAAGTCATTAATTATTTATTATAACGGGAAAATATTTATAAGTAATGTAACAATTTAAACAAGACATTTACGATTTCTTCAAGCCACAAAAAAAATTTATCAATTAGACAAATTGAAGCATTAAAAGAATATACTGTAATTAGTTTACATTAAATTTGCTAAGTGACCAGGGATGATCATTCCATTTTGGAATTGGCCCCATATAAATATTTGGTATTATTATAACCATAAGTCTCCAGGTAATTAAAATAATTTCAGAAACAAATACCAAATCTAAAATCTGCGTCACTTTTGGTTAAAGGTTCTCACTAGCATTAAATTTTATTTATCCCACAAAGCAATTTGCAACGGACATGAAATTCTTAATAAGAAATTAATTCACAAATATTTTTCTAGCACACTCACCATTCAGCAGTGGCAGCAAGATTAGTCATTCAGCCAAGCAGGGCAGGTTGCAGAGGAGGTGCAATGTCCAAGTTTCTTCAAAATTTCTACTGTAAAATAAATTGCATTAATTAGATTTAGGATGAGGAAATACAAATGCATCATAAATATCAAAATAATTATTTATTTTTTTTATTTTTGTTCATTTAGTTATTAGAATTTAATTTCATGACATATTAATCATAACATAATTAAATATTAAGGCCAACTCAGACAGCATCGTCTGACGCGAATTATCGATGGGGACATAGTCTTAAGCCATTGTGAGGAATATTAAACATGTTTAATATTCCAAGACGCTACTGCTCTTGATGCAAACTGCTACGTCGGGCTGCGTCGTTCAATGCTGTCTGATTGGCATTTACCTGCAGAATGATACTTGGCATAAATTTTATATTCATATAATTTACTTAATTTAATTAGTTACTATGCTTAAGTTTTAAAAATCAGAATCGTTTAATTTCGTTAATGTCAAAACCAGCAATGAGAATATGTCATGCTTTGCATTTTTATGTCTCATAAAGAATCTAAAATCGAGGTAAGGCAGGCCCACACGAATCTTTATTGTAAGATTAAATGTAGAAAAGTCATCCATGTTTATTTTTTGCCAACACACACACAAATCAAATTTAAGGCATATTTTGTATTTTTTATGTTTAGACAGTTAATAATTTCAGTCGAAGTAGCTACTAAAATAGCATTATATTATAAATCTTTCTCACATCAAAATAAATTGTTTCATTTACTAAGGACTGAGGCTATAGGAAGGCATTCTTTGTCAAAGGCTACTGACCAAATCAACAAACTGGTTTTGTAACAAGTCCTGCGTTACATGCACCCGTGAAAACCAAGATGACACTTTTACAAGTCGCGAAATGTATTGACCCAGTGTTCAGCCAAAATCACTAATTGCCACCAAGTTGAGATTTTGAAAAGGTGTTCGAGATGAAGTTCTGAATATCTACATCATATTTTGTGAGCAATATGTAGGTATACGTGATTGTCAGCCACTGAGCGCAATATCATGGCAACGCTTTCATTTTCTGGCAGCAACTCGACTGTCTGCACAGCCCTCTATTGTTTTAACAGCAGAGGTCGTATTTATTTTTTTCTATGACCCGAAAAAATTAATGACGTAGTTTACATATTCCTCTCTGAACTTATCATCAAATCAATTTTTCCCGACTTTGCAAAGTGAGAGAATTTATTGCTGAAAGCTTTGGTTGTCAAAAACATGCAATTATTTCTGAGATATGTTTATATTTTTCTGAAACCGGGCAATTCTAACGTTTCATTTCATCCTATATTCATATTGTTTAAGTAATGAAGCCAAATGCCATTAATTTGCATTGTATATACATGGAAGTGTGTGGGAAAACTGAAAACCAATAGTTTACATGTTGTCTATGCACAATATGATGCAAATAATTCAAAATTTAGCTGAAAATAATGCAATTTTTCAACACATGTTAATATTTAAATTCACAGGAAGTTTTTAATTCAATTAATACTTTATGTAGTAGTATATTATTGCATATTTTTTATGACAAAAGTTCCAACAATAACATCAATTCAGTCAAGCTACAGGAGCAAGTAATATTTGCATGGGACCATGTAACATAAGTTACAACGAATGTTTTAATTCCTGACGGTGTCTCAAGTTAAATGTTGTGAAAGTTGCTAGTAATTGTTTTCCTCCTTCTCATGTCACTATATATATTATAGAAGTATAGCAACAAATTTATTTTATTATCTAGAACAAAAATCTATGACAAGTCTGTAATGCAAGTTACTGACAAATAATTGTGTTAACTACAAATTGGTACAAAGTTGAAAGCTTAGGTATGCACCAAAGATAGAATATACCACTTGTTCTTAAATTGAAAGAATTAACTTCTGTCTAGCAATCTACTACAATAGGCTACTAGTAGGCATATTGTTTGTTGAATATTGACCATAAAAGTAGTAATGAAGATTACACATGAGGTTTTAACTACTGTACTGTAGTTTTTAGGCAGAGGTGGGCATAAAAATCGGTCGGAGGGCCAAAGTGAATTTTTAATTCAACACCGAGGGCCGCACCTAAACTTTTTTGTTTCCAGTGTGCTTCCAAAAACCTCTAAGAACTGCTTTTACAACAATTTATTCTTATTCTATTTTACTTTTTACATATGATCGGTGTCGGGCTATAAAAAACAAGGCGTTTTCTTGCCAATGCTTGGCGGGCCGCACACATAGGGATTTTTATTCATTTTTGCGGGCCGCAAAAAAAAATCGTTGGCAGGCTGCAAGCGGCCCGCGGGCTGCACTTTGCCCACCTGTGTTTTTAGGGATCCTTATTCATGACATGAATATTGCAACATGTTCTCTTGACCAGTGAGTAGAGCTTTGGCAAAATGTGAAATCAAGGAAGCTCATTGTTCTGGAAATTATTGAATGAAATTTTGGTACTAAATTGAAGAATGAAAATGTACACCTGAACCAGAGAAACACTTAAAGCTTCATTCCCGGCAAAATTTCAGTTGTTTAGAAAAATCTGATTTTTATATGTTTTATAAAAATTTATAAATATAATACGTAATTTCTGGTTTAACTGAATTCTGACACTCCTAAACAGGAAAAAAGTGTGAAATAAGGCTGGAATTTGATTTTTTGTGTTTTTTGTTTTTGTGAAATATAGTAGGCGCCGGAAACATTAGCCTATCCAACACTGCTAGGCTAGGCCTAGCATTGCCACGATTTAGGTTCTGTTATCACACATAAAAACGGCTGACGTGATATTTTTCGTTGCTAGTATTGACAATTGTGAAATATAATATTTCATAGAAATTATTTCAAATTTATTTTTAAAAATCATTCTGACTGAGATTTTGACAATCAAACAAACATACCTCAGGCCTACTCGATCGACCGCAGTGTGCGAGATGCGAAGTACAAAAACTAATATCAGAGAGGGTGCACTTTATTGACTGCATAAAATATACATAAAAGCAAGAGCATTCCAGTAGATATGATCCACAACCTCTGAATTTGCATAGTAACAAAGAATTTGTCGAGAAAATGGTAATCTCCTATGAGAAATAGTTTGTATTTCATCTTTTCTCAATCTATTTTTTGTGAAATTTTGCTGGGAATGGGGCTTCAATTTTGATTTTTTTTTTCCGGGGAGGGAAAGTAACATTGCATACAGCTGTATTAGGTGAGAGTAATAAATGGGAGTACGAGAATGAACATAATATCAAAGTAGGGGATTGGTGGTACTGAAGGCCTACAGTATATCTGGGTATGACTATGTGGGGGCACGTCTTCCATTTTTTCTGGGTAGCAATACAGTAGGCCCACGCAATGACTACTACCAAATCCATAGGATACTGTATAGAGGTTAATTGAGGATACCAATGTATTGGTAATAGTTTCCAGCATTTTAATGAAATTTCACATTGTTGGAGTGTTCTAAGTAATGTGAAATATTGTGTACTGTAGTTTTTGAAATAAGTTTGCAGAGTGAATGCGAATACAGTAACAGTAATACTACTGTAGTTAAACTATACATCATGCAGATATGGATTATACAGTAACTGCAGTATATCACTATTTAAATATATGAAAATTCTATCTGATTTGAAATATATTGTTGAAAAGATCTAATTTCTAGGGTAACACATAACACTATACACCTACATGTAAAATAGCAATTACAATTTAAAAAAAATATAATTAAAGTGATAATAAAATCCATATAGTCAATTTTGTAGTCTGTTTTTCAATAGAGACATATGTTAACGTAAGTTACCGTAACATTTTGACGTTTAACCTATTAATCGTAATCCGATTGACATTGACTTTACTAAGGGATATTCTGTATGAGGAGACTTTTGAAAACTGTCTTTAAAAAAAAGTGCATGTCTTTTTGTGTAACGTATGTTACCAAGGTTTGAGTATGTTAACAAAAAATATTGAAAAGCAGTTGAAAGTTTTAAAAGGATTTTCAGAAAGGTTAAATATTACTGTTTTACATAATACTTAGTTATAATGATGAAATAATTTTATATTTGTGTAATCATCAGCAGAGTGGATGAAAGTAGGTCAAAATGTAATGTTACCGTGGAATTCCCATATATGAATGACAATAATATTATTCTTAGTATTTCTAGACATGGTTTTGTTGTCTCCGTCGATGGACAGATTGCAGCATCTTGTGCAATTATGTGAAATTTAATCGGTGTGTATTTGGAGTATGCCTAAAACATATCTCAATAACAAAAACCTTGAATATTTTGAATCTGTGTCATATCTTGTTACATAATATGTTGTGACCTCAATGATGAGCTTGGTATCAAAAGACAAGTTAGATCACTGAGCATGTAGTACATGGAAATGTACTGTGTAGAAAGTGCCGTGATCAAGTCAAATGTTTATTATAGTTTATGTATAGACTTTCATCTATGAACACACCGAGTGTATGTTATAACAATATTAAAGAAAACTGTTACGTCAACCAAGATAAATTATAATTCCAAGAATTTATGAGAAAATCAATTTTTATTTTTTTTTAAACGATTTTCTACTAGTGTAAATCTATTATTTTGTTCTGTAAATGAAATTTTTTAAAGTCCTAGCTTTCAAAAAGGTGAAACAAACTTCTTTTTGTCAATCCATAATTTCTATGGATCCTCTGGAGTTTATTCCTTGTATTTATGTTGTATGTAGTTAAGTTGATGATGTTTAACTATGGATGTAAAGTCTGAAGTAAAGAGAAATGAATGAATAATTACCATCAGCCTATCATATATCATTATATGGCAAGAAATTATTTAGTTAGGTAGATGGAGCACCAAAATGGCAAAAAATTATTTACAAAGTGATTTTTGTTAGATATCGACCTGGGTATCGACCTGGAATACAACCAAAAAAAGTTGGATGGATTTTGGCAATCACGATCTTTTGACGACGATGTAAAGTCGAGCATTCGGAAAAATTGTAGTTTATAGCCCCGATATTCAACCCCCGACCCGTGGGCCAAATCCGGCCCGCCAAATATTTTGATCTG